TTATTTTGATATATCACAGTGAAAGATTTATCGTCCTCTTTTTTTTTTTTTTTTTTTTTTTTTTTTTAAAAAAAAAAAAAAAAAAAAAAAAAAAAAAAAAACCAAACAAAAAGAAACTGAAATGAATAAGAATGAGAGAACTTTACATTAATATATAAAGAATGGGTGGATTAAGTTCATGAACAGAGTGAGATTTTAATATATATTTTTTTTCTTTTTGATATTTTTGAGGTGGAATCTCCCCATAGCCACAGCTGGCCTGGAACTCTATGTGCAGAGTAGGCTGGCCTCAGTCTCACAGAGATCTGCCTGCTTCTGTATCCCAGCTGAATTTTAATATAATTTATTAGTCCATTTGTCCTTAGTTTTTGGGTTTTGATTATTATTTCATCTATTCCCAGGAACAGTAAGTTCTAACACTCATTAGGTACAAAGGCAGGTGATTTGAAATTTTCATTACAGAAGGACATAGAGTCTATAAACTTGGTGTAAAAAAGATCATATTCAAATCAAATATGTGTCAAATAAAAAGTTATCTTTCATTGGGAAAAGTGGCAGAATTGTCACGCTGAGCCACATTTTGTCCCTGTCTTCTCTCTTTTGCATAGCAATCACTTCTCTAATGAAGTCACATTTATTTTAGCTCTTACACTGTAGAAACCACAGAGACTCTTTGTATTTGGGAAGATGGGATTCAGGTAGACTCTTCAGTTGACCTCTCCTTTGTATATGTTATATAACTGCCATTGGTTAAATTGCAACTTCCTAGGGCAAATTCATTTCCCCAAATGAGACCAAGACAACAAGTATTTTGGATTCAATATATCATTTCATCTGCCTTTGTTAATATCTTTCAAGTGTAAATGATATACTGCAGTGCATAATGAGCAAGTTTGACATTAAATTGAGTATTAATCTGTGTTTTCCAACTTTATGCTCATATATGGCCATCAGTTTTTTCTATGAAAAAGAAATAAAGTTAAACTTTATAGGGGACCATATGTTTTCACTAAATGGTTTGCTGTGCTATTGTGACTGTGGAATCATTATAGAAGACATTGCTTTAACGCAATGATGCGTTTTCTTAAACAAAATTGTTGGAATTATACACCTAGCTTTTCATAAATAGCATCATGTTGAATGAGTCAACATTTGAACTGTGAAGTTAAATTGCTTTATAGAATAAAATTGTAAGTAAATAATCATAATAGCGTTGTTCCAACTTGGTGTTCACTGCAGCTATTTCTTGACAGGCCTCCCTGTGACGGTAGGTTATTTAGACTTGTTGAGCTTTATGATTGTTGCTTGGGGAATGAGAAGGCAAGTAGACTGTAGTTCTCAGCCCCCAAATAGAGTGGAAATAGTGTAAACTGCAATCCTTTTAAGTTATTTTCTTCACTTGAATGGAATGCCCGTATCAATTACTTTATGTTTAAGTACTCAGTCAAAATTTTTCTGAACACCCTTTTCACTGTGGAGGCTGATCAGTAAATTATCTTTTCGGTCTAAGGAAAGTGATGCTAGACTTTGTCCTCAGTCATAGAGAGAACATAACTTAATGTTTTTAAGATGCATTTTATTTTTATCTGTGTTTCTGTCAGTATATATACATATGTTTGTGGGTGCCCAAAATGTGATTAAAAGATTAGAGAAAAGCTAAGGATGTCTAATATACGTTTTCTTAATCAAGTCAAGTAAAATGTTAATTATCATAATTTGTACTGTAACACAATTTTTCTTTAAAACATCTTTAACATAAATCATATCTAATAATAACTTTGAAGACTGTGAATTGCTTAAAAGAAATAGCTGTCATACTGAATCATTTCAAGTCGGGCATCACTTTTACAGTTTGATGTAGGAAATGACTTTGCACACATGTATGCTCTCATTGGCAAATCTGTGATTATACTTTTTATTTCATCAAAAACCCACCTCTAACCTTAAAACATAGGGATACTGTAAAAATTCCCCATGGCCTGTTTAAATTGATTTTATCTTTGTTTTATTCTCTTTGGTAGCAGAGGATTAAACTCCCTTGATAACATTAACACTTTTCTGCTAGTACACCAGCAGAACTGAATCCTCCAAATTCAATCCCATTGTGGTTTTTCATAAATTCCCAACAGTATTGTTTTTAGTCAGAATCGAATTATGAGTATAGTAAGTAAAATGAACTTGTTACATTTCTAGTGTATCAAATTTTCAAACTTATGTATCAGGTTTTATAAATTAAGAATATTTTATTTTAAAACTCAGCATTATTCTGAAAATAGAACCCTACCTTTTTAAAATTCTTTCAAACTGAAAACTGTAGATGCACATCTTCTTAAATTCATATATAAAACCATTTTAATATCAAGGTAATAATTAATGAGATACTGTGTTTAGGGGTAACAAACTGATGCCTCTTAAATATTATTTTGTATTTATTTTTATAAATTACATTAAATATTAAGTTGATGAAACAAGTGTGTTTTTATTTAATAAAAAAACTTACAAAAGCGAAGTTTACCTTGAAGGGAGACAGTAGCAAATTCATGTGAAATTATATCATAAGGTCTTTTCTGTGGGATGACCAATTTCTGTTGCTGTTATTTTTGTTTTTGCTGATTTAAAATATCTTATTGAATTTTAGTGGATTTCACACAATGCATCTCAATCATATTTAGCTCCCCCTCTTTATCTTGGCACCCCACCCATAGCCCATGCACAGGATGCCATGCATTTTTTCATATGTTAAGGCCTGTTGAGTTAAGTTTGTGTACCCAGAGGTCCCTCAGTGTGAGTTCATCCACTGGAGCCTGTTCAGCCTGTGTAGCATCACTTCCTTAAAGATCAGCTCTCCCTCACCCAGCAGGGATCAGCTGCCAATAGTTCCTCATGAAAGTTGTGGCCTTCTGCTCATTTCCCCAGTTCTATGCTGGTTTATGTCTGATTGAGTTTGCATGGGTGTTGTACATGCTGTCACCATTGCTGTAAGTTCATATGACCAAGGACCCAGGAGCCTGTAAGACTGTTTCCTTCTTGTCACGTACCTCCTCCCCTGACTCTTAAATCTTTCTGCTGTCTCTTCTACAATGGTCCCTGAGCCCTTGATGGATGAAGTTTAATATAGGAGTACTGTCCAGGGACCCATACTCTGTAGAATCTGATTCTTTACACTTTGGCCACTTCTGGCCTTTGTATTCATTGCCCTCTGTTGCATGAGGAAGATTTGCTGATGAAAGTTGAGAGAGGCGTTAGTATTCTCTCTGTCCCTTGTTCCACTATATTCTATGAGCCTTAGGTGTAGAGGTTCCATTGTAGATGTGGCACATAGGGTTAGGCATCTCACAGACACTTAATTCTCTGTGTATGACTAGTTGTGGAACTCTATAATAGTCTCTGTCTGTTGCAAAAGAAGCTTCTTTGATGAGTGGTGACTGGCATACTTGTCTATAAATACGTGTCTGTATTTAGCTTATAGTAAGAAATTACATTTGTCTTGGGATGTGACAGACTTAGGGTTTTATCTAAGACCTATGAACTCTCAAGTCAAATGTATTTGGCTATGTGTACAGTGCCACACCTGAGTTCCTGCCCATTGAGTGGAAGTCCAGTTAATTAGCTGTTGATTGCCCCCAAGATAAAAGTGGCACTATTGCACCAATATAGTTTGCTGTGACAGTCATTATTGTGGTTATTAGACTTTAAAGTGGGGGTTGTATCATTGACTGATATTCTCCCTCAGCAGTTTACATAGTGTCCTCCAAAACTGATAATTAGTCTTCAGGGAGGAGGCTTCCAGGTCAGTTCCAGCTCCATTGCTCCAGTCCTTTGTTAGAAGTATATACTGCCTTCAGCAATAGGGTCTTACTTTCAAGTTCTGGGAGATAATCAAGGGCTGTGTAATTTGGGGAGTTCTTAGACTACCCTGACCAACTTGAAGAGAGGCTTCTCCTGTCTGGCACTGTTTCTTGTTATACAGATGCACTCATTTAGAGATATTTTATGTGTATTTTCAGTGGGTTTTGAGCTAATATATTTCCCTCTTTTTTATACCACCTAAGCATCATTTATCTCTCTTGTCTCTTCCTATCTAATCCTCCCTCTTCCTTTCCCAATTAAAGTACCCCCATTTTCCCCATTTCACCCTTGGTAATACCTGTCTCCTACTATCCTATAGGTAATAACTGTCTTCTATGATCATCCCTCTCTTGTGCTCCTTTACCACTGTGGTTCCTTTCATAACACTTCCTCTTCCCCTCCCAGTTAAATACCCCAATTTTATCCATTTCACCCTTGGTAACACCTGTCTCCTACTATCCCTCCCTCTCAGGCTCCTTTCTTCCCTTAATTTCCACAGTTTCTTTATTTTGTCCTGGCTCCTGCTTGTATATCAGGATATATACTCGCATATAAGGATTTGGTGATAAGTTCCACAAACAAGGGAGAACATGTCTTTTGTTGTTCTGAGTCTGTGTTACTTTCCTTAGTATAAGAGTTTCTAGTTCCATCCACTTACCTGCAAATTTCACGATGTCATTTTTCTTTACCACTTGAGTAAAACCATTTTGGGGTTATGCTGTGTGTGCACTGGATGACCAGTTTTTAACAACATGGAAAACTTCCCCTGGTAAGGGAGTTTTCCTCATCCCAGGGTTAAAAGCAAGCAGTTCAGAAGAACCGTGACCATTTTAATCATTTTCCATAACCATTTTTTAACAAATTATTTGCATGATTGCATTAAATATTTATTATTATTTTGAAAGATCCTCTGGTTTTCCATATTTAGTCCATAAGGTGATGAAGCAG